CCCCAAAACCCCAAAACCCCAAAACCCCTTAATCCTCGATCTAATTGAAATAAATTAAATCTCTAAGTCAATGGATCAGGCCAAATTTGAAAAACTTACAGTAAGCATTACTCCTCAGGAATAGAGGAACTACCAACTCCAGAAAGTAGCCATAGGGTCTAAGTAGGTTCAGAGTTGCGTTTAGACGTATGGTTAGGTTATTTCTCAGCATAATTTCACCCTTTTGGATTTAATTAGGACTAAGAAAGAAGTTGTCAGTTCAAAAGAAAGGAAATAAAACAAAAGTGTTCTCAGAAGCAATGAATTCCTTACTTTATCCGAACTCAACAAAACTCAGCTTGAAGTTATCCCAAGGGCCGTACCAACAAGGTAAAATCTGGGTTATAGCTTTTGTAGGGATTTTAAGTGGAGAAATAGAGATAATAGCTGTTTTTAGGCTAGATTTCTTACAAGTTAAACCTTTCTCTATGAATATGACTGAACTCTATCTATAATATTCCTATGCTTACGCTAAGAAGCATGCAGTATAAGGGGTTACTTAGTCTTGTTGCTTGCTCAGTGATACTCTGTTCATAATCTGCTTGATATAGATGTCCTAAAAGCGTTCAATTCCTTTGCAGATTCACAAAGAAGCAAAAGAGCATCTGACTACCCATTTGATAGTAAGTTATTCTGTTAAACCTAAAAGCAGTGTAAATCATGCATTTATAGAAATTTAGGCTGTTTTTATCATCCCTAATCACCATAAATTTTACTTGGATGTAATACCTCTTATTTATCATGAGTTATCACCAAATAGAAAATCTCTAGAAATTTGAGAAGTAGATCAGAGAAATTTGGCCTAGAGAATTATTAAAGGAACTTAATGATTACAATAACTTTGTGAAGTTTATACCGTATTTTTGAGAGATAATTCCAATAACTGTGTCCTGGAAATACAAATTTCTTGGCAGAAAATTTTATACATCTTAGTCCTTTGGAGGATAAGGAACGGTTTTGAGCACCACTTCCTGCTCTTTGAATGAAGTTAGATCAAGTCCGACAAAGATAGTATTATTTACAACATAATAGCTTTCTTATGTAGGGCAGCAGGTTGTTTACTTATGCGAAATTAGCCGATATTAATTTCCAAGACATTCACGTGAATACCTTTTAATTCTCCTGTTCATTATAACTCAATCTTTAGACCACCACAAGAAGAAGTAAAGTTTTAAACAACATTTTAGGTATCGTGAAATGAGTTTTGGAGACAAAAAGAACTCTTATAACATGAATAGAGCAAGTTTTGCACTTCCTCAATCGACTTTGATTCATTCTCGAGAGTCTAAAGGTAGTATGATGCTTTATAAATCTGGGACTCCCAATGAATCAAAGTAAGATTTCTCTTGTAAATCTAGGGCAAGTCTGGTATCAGCAAAGAGGTTCAAGTCTCAAAGAAGTATTCTGTCTACTTATATCTAGGTAACCGGATTAACAAGTTCAGGATATAATTTCCCCAACTCCTGTAGAAAATACTCAACATCAAAAGGGTGTCCAAAGGTATTCTCTAACCAGGTAGGCTAGACTTCAAGTGTCCCAACTTTATAGAGAAGGGGATCGCTTAATGATCGATACAAAGGAAGTCTCCCCTGATAGTCAAGGTGTCAGATCCAAAAGAGATAATGTGATTAAAATGATCAACAGAAAATCGTCAAAAATCTCTGCGAATAAAGCAAAGCTTCAAAATTCTAAATTTTGAGAAAGCAATAAATCTCTAAAACAGAGCTATTGTAGTGTTTCCCCTCGTGTAAAGACTTGGTCTCGAAGAGATTACTGCAGAAGGGCTTTTAGAGACAAATAAATGGGTGGTAAATTACTCAAATTTCACCATTATAGAACGAAAACACAGTCACCAGTCCTCCAAACTCTTCAGAATTTACACATAAGGCTCCTCAGTCGCAGCTGGATTCCAAGCTGAAGTACATCACTGAGGTGCACTCTGAGGGAGGAAAGTAAGCCCATTGAATATAATACTGTAGGATCCACCAGGAGAGTAAAATTATCTTCAAACTCTATAGTTGATAAATGGAAGCAAGGAAGAGGATGGACAAAGCTGATTCCTGGAAAGAACCCCAGTAACTTCTACGTAATCATTAGTGCTCATGCTTATAGTTCCTCTTCGCTCTAGTGGATGAATACGACAAGAAATTACTGAGAGATGGTAAATCTGAGGCAGTACAGGAGTCAGTCCAGGGATATCTGAAAACTATTAAAAAGAAGAAAGCGAGAAGAGCAAGAAGGATCAAAAGAAAGTTGTAGATTTCAATCTGAATGCTTAGAAAAGGGGTTTTGGGGTTTTGGGGTTTTGGGG